TTGCTCCTAGTAGCGATGCACTTGTTTCTAATAGCTTCTTGTTACTATTACTAGTAGCGAACATTGTTACAGCGTTTGCTGTGGCACCGGTTTTGGAGCGCCAGCTTCTGCGTGGAACCGTTCGGACGATCGAACATCAGGCTTTAACTCCGGACGTTGGTGCAGAAGATGTTGAAAAAAAAAGATGTTGAATTGTTCTGTGAATGGCAGGTGCAATCGTGAGGGTGGCGCATTGATGCGAATCTCCGTGCCTTACAGGAAGAAGAAATGCTTTCCGAAGACTTGAGTTGAGAGGGAAGAAAACATACTAAAAAAGCTAGCAAGTTTTCTTTGCTACTAGGAGCACGAAGCTACTTGGAGCAAGAAGCTACTCGGAGCAAAGGGCATCGCTACTAGTAACAATATCGCCACTAGGGGCTCCTGGCCTTACTACTAGGAGCAAGAAGCTGGGTTTTGATGTCGTCTCGACGTCATTGCCAGATCGGCAGATCGGTTGTCGTGCATTGGTGCATTCAGTCCTTTCACTTCAAGCAGAAACTGCTGCAAACAGGACGAATGATGTAGGACCGTGATGGACCATGTAGGGCTCCTATGGGGCAGAGGTCAACAGCACATTTGCTCAGGTCAACGGCACACTGGTGGCCACACACCACTTCGCAGAAGCACCTCCAGCAGAGGTGGGGCGACTTCGCAAGCTAGGAAGGTACTGGTGTGGTAGCACCGGTGTTTTGCCAAGTCTCCAAGTCTCGCTTTTTGTGAAGTACCGGTGCTTATACCGGTGGTGACGCCGTTGGTGACACCGGTCATTCATTCTTGGCACAGATCTTCTTGACCGCACAAAGCAGCTTTGAAGAAACCTAGTCACCTAGTCAATCCAAGTCAGCTAGAGGTTCAACAAATGAGCATAAATACAAGGAAGGTGACTCAACTGATTCACACCAATAAGAGAGAATGTTGTTGGTTGCTTGCCATGCAGGCCATTGGCTTTTTGACACCAGTCGTCCGGCTAGCTGGCACCGGGACAGTTCTGCAACAGATTTGGATATTGAAGTTCTGAAAGGAGTAGCGTCCTTGCTACTAGTAGTATGCCCTTGTTACTAGTAGCTTCTTGTTCCTAGTAGTATGGCCAGGAGCCCCTAGTAGCGTCCTTGCTCCTAGTAGGGATGCCCTTGTTACTAGTCAATCAAAGAATTCTTGCTTTGGTCCGTGGTCGTTGGTGTTCGTTTTTCTGTCAGGAAAGCGGCCAAGCTAATGCCTGGCGTGTCGCCTCCATCGAAGCTCTTGGCAGATGGGCTTGGAGGCCCCGAGCATCGTTTACGGCATGTTCTTGTTTTAGACATGACAAAGGAATACAACAGAGTTAGGATTAAGGGCATTACTATTAGTAGCTAGAAGCTACTAGTTACTAGTAATAAGATCATCGCTACCAGTAACGAATACAAAAGAGTTCAACTAGATTTAAGTCTTAGGGTCTTTGGGTTCACAGACCGCAACTTGTTGGCCGTGTCTTTTTTCGGTCCATGTTGGTCCACAGTCCTTTCTGCGGTTTGGCTGGGTGTGCTCCTAGAGCTTGGTGGTCTCCAGTGGGCTGTGCCGAACAGTGGAATTGCCAGCAAGATAAAGTTACAGGACGAGGGTTCAGGCGGAATTTCATGAGTGGAGCAAAATGGAAGTTTCATGTTTTCTAAGGATTCTCAAAGTCTCTGATACAACATGAATGCTTTGAGAGGCCCCTGTGCGTCTCACCTTTCAACCCTTAGCCCTGCATCCGGCTGTCGTTCGTCCTCCTTCACCAGCGGACCAACACGCTCATGTGGTTTCCCACGGTCTCCGCGCGATCCTTGAAGGCTCGCGGTGACAGAGTGTCATTTTGGTGGAGGCCCTAAGTTCAACAGCAACGACTATGAACAGTTCTTGCGATGATGCGGCTGTTGATTTTAGCACCGAAATGCTTTGAGAGAGCGTTTTCAGAGAACTCTTTTCCTAGGCGAAGCGTCTCATTTGGTCTCATTTGGTCTCACAGAGCCGTTTCACATGTTTCACACGTGGCAATCCCAAAGTGGATTCCGCGAAGCGCCAACAAGGAGCCCCAAGCGTAGGGAGCCCCGCCGGGAGCGGAGCCGCAACTTGCCCAGCGGAGCCCAACAGAGTGAGCTGCCTGCAGTTGAACTCAGCATGGCCTCCAACCTACTATAACGATGGCCTCCAACCTAATGCGCACCTGGTATTAACCAACCCCCCCCTATTAGTCTACCCAGCGTTCAGGCCCCAATAATAAACTAATTTGAACTATGAATTTCCACAGTCACCACCCTCTAATAAAAATTTTGCTTGGCTGAAACCCCCCCTATTAGTCTACCCCCTGTCCCCCCAGGAAAAATATAATTACTTATATATATATATATGTGTGTGTTTAATTAGTTTTGTTCTTTTTCCCTTTTCAATATTTTCTTGTCTTGCCATGGTGAAACTGATCTTCTGATTGATTACCAATGTTCTCCCAAAGCAACAGTTTTCCTAGAATTTCCAAAAACTCTCTAGGAAAATTCTTTCATTTTCCCTTATTAAAACTCTATCAAAATCTGCAATTTGAGAAGCTCAGAAAGGGTACCCCCCATACACCCCCTACCCCCCTCTAATAGTGGGGTACCCCCCCTATTAGTCAACCCCATCCATGATGAGCTCTCATGGACCTCATGATGAAAGGGAATTAGTATTTGGGCTCTCATGGATCTCATCATTCCATCCCAGCTCTTCCAAATACTAATTCCCTTTTATTCCAATTCTTCCAAATACTAATTCCCTTTCACTCCAATTCTTCCAAATACTAATTCCCTTTCATCTCAATTCTTCCAAATACTAATTCCCTTTCATTCCAATTCTTCCAAATACTAATTCCCTTTCATTCCAATTCTTCCAAATACTAATTCCCTTTCATCATCAGGTCATCCCCACTATTAGGAGGATGTGATCTCCAAAACCTCCAATCTCAGACCTTGTTGACCTTGTTGACCTTCTAGGGGGGGCCCGTTGATTAATACGACGTTTGCATTACTAACGATGGCCTCCAACCTACTAGCGATGGCCTCCAACCTACTACCGATGGCCTCCAACCTACTACCGATGGCCTCCAACCTACTACAACCTACTAACGATGGCCTCCAACCTACTAGCGATGGCCTCCAACCTACTAGCCACGGCCTCCAACCTACTAGCGACGGCCTCCAACCTGCTAACGATGGCCTTGGCCTCCAACCTACTAGAGATGGCCTCCAACCTACTACCGATGGCCTCCAGCCTACTACCGATGGCCTCCAACCTACTAGCGATGGCCTCCAACCTACTAGCGATGGCCTCCAACCTACTACCGATAGCCTCCAACCTACTAAGGATGGCCTCCAACCTACTAGCAATGATGCCTCCAACCTACTAGCGATGGCCTCCAACCTACTAGCAATG